GGCGCTGCCCCGCGACGGTGCCCAGCTCCAGGAAGTGGGACTGAGGGCCTCCGCACAAGCCCTGTGAAGTGTCTCAATCTCTCCTGGCGGCAGGCCAAGAGCGGGGGAGGGCCAAAGCTGACTTCCCCAGAAACCGGGCAGCGTGCGGAGACTGTGACCAGCTCGTCTCTGTGCAAGCCACGGCCCCTCCCCGCTCGCCCAGCTTCCACTTTGGCCCCCTAAGCTCATCCTCCCCCCAGCAGCCAGAGGACGCTTTTGAAAAACTCAGACAGATAACCTAATTCTGCAAATGGCCAAAAGATTGGAGCAGACGCTTCACAAAAGAAGAGACGTGAACGGCCACGAAGCGTGGGGAAAAGTGCTCGACATCCTTAGTCATTAGGGGAATACAAATCGAAACCACAGTGAAAGACTCGCACACACCCACTGGAGTGACTAAAATGAAAACGACCAACCCTACCAAGTGTCAGCAGAAAGGTGGAGCAGTTGGAAATCTCAGACGCTGCTGGCGGGAACGTAAAGGACAACAACCACTTTGGAAAACAGTTCGGTAGTTTCTTATAAAGTTTGACATTCACCTACCTGGAGGTCCAGCAGTCCCACTGCTGGTTATCTACCCAAGAGAAATGAAACACATGTCCACATAGAGATGTGTGAGGCCCGCAAGATCCCCCCCTGCCACCTCCCAGTCCTCCCCTCCTCCCTCTCTGTCCCTCACCGCACTGGAATCCTTGCTGTTTCTTGAACAAGTCGCACTCGTTCTCACCTCAGGGCCTTGACTGGCCCCTTCTCATCCTCCAGGTCTCGGCTGAAATGTTACACCCTCACCGGAGGCCTCCCCTGACCGCCACTGCTAAAGTCACCCTCACCGCCCCTGCCACCAGTTTCATTTTCTTCTTGGTATTTGTCATACCTGAAATTCTCTGACTTATGTGTTCTCATTTTTACTATCTGCTAGTTCCTCGAGAATGGGAACTCCATGAGCACAGGGACCCTTCTGTCTCGCTCACTGTTGTATCCCCAGCACACATAGTAGGTGCTCAATAAACATCCTTTGAATATTGGACTAAATGACCACCGGTGGTAACAGGTTCAATTAAACCTAGCTCCTCTCTCTGAAGAGGTTTAAGGGTATCCCAGACTTGTACGCTATAGCTTCTTGAAGGAATTGCTTGCTAGATACAAACACAGCGTCGCAAATACTGTGATTCCACTTACATGAGGTACTTAGAGTCCTCAAATTCAGAGGCAGAAAGTACAATGGCTGCCAGGCTAGAGGGGAGGAGGGAAGGAGGCGGGAGCATTAAACGGGTACAGAGTTTCAGTTTTACAGTGAAGAATTATGGAGATGAGTGGTGGGGACGGTTGCATAACACAATGACTGGATTTAATACCACTGAACTGTACACTTAAAAATGGTTAAGATGGTAAATTGTATGTTATGTGTATTTTACCACAATAAAAACAAATACAAAAAGATTGCCGGCCATCCCCTAATCCTCTTGCCCTTCTTCCATGGAATTTTTAGCAGGGCATATGGCCACGACTAAAGACCACATTTCCCAGCTTCATTTGCATGAAAGTGCTATGGCGTTATGACACATATTAATATACTGGTTTTCGTCCCTGGTTCCTGGCTCCCTTGTTACGGCCTTTTGTTATAATGTCGGGCAAGTTAGCAGGCCTCAGGAAACAGAATGTCTCTGACCTTCTCCTTCTCCTGTCCTCTCTCGTCTGCCTAAGGCAGGACCATAATCCTGCTTCCCACCCCACCCACCTTTCCCACTGTGGGTCCTAAGACCTTCATTCCAGAGAGGGTCCCACCCCATATCCCGGAAGCTACTCGCATTTTACACAGTGGTCCATACAAACCCCAGACGATGGGTTTGGAGAGCTTCCAGATGGCTGAACACGTGGGGCTTCCTGGAGGCTGGCGCACTGGCGAAGGTATGGAAGCTTCGCGCCCTTCCCACACACCTGGCCCTGTGCACCTCTTCATCTGTATCCTTTGTGATGTCCTTTGTGATAGACCAGTAAACGTAAGTAAGTGTTTCCCTGAGTTCTGTGAGGCACGCCAGCAAATTAACTGAACCCGAAGAGGGGGTCCTGGGAACCCCAGTTGGAAGCCAGTCGGTCAGCAGCTCCGGAGGCCCAGACTTGCGACTGGTGTCTGAAGGTGGGGAAGTCTTGGGGACTGAGCCCTCTACCTGTGGGATCTGATGCTGTCTCCAGGTGGAGTGTCAGAATTCAACTGGAGGACACCCAGCTGGCGTTGGGGGCAGAACTGATTGCTTGCTCGGTGGTGGGGAGGAACACACCCCACACACACATTTGGTCCCAGGAGTCTTCTTCTGCGTTGATGATTGTTGTGGTGTGAGAGCAGAGGAAAAACACGCTTTGAAGTTTTCCCAAAACAGGTGGCTACGTGGCTTCATCCTGGCCCACTGGCGGTGCTGGGGCTGAGTGGGCAAACCTATAGGTCACAGCCCTTGTGGAAGGGTGTCTGGGACTCAACTCCCCTTCTTTGATTTTCCCACTTGCTGGAATTTGAACGTGCAAGGGGTCATCTTTGAACAAGCGGATGAGGACAATCCCCGTGAGGATGAAAGCGCAGCAAGACGGAAGAAGTTCCAGGCCACAGCGGCTACGTGAGAGAGAAACTGCGACCCTGCTTAAGCCATTTGTGGTAAGTCATCTCCAAAGAAGGTCACCAGGAATTCCTCCCTCCCGATGTACATGCCATCCCTCTCACCAAGAGGCGGAGAGTCTATTTTCCCTGCCCTTGAACCTGAGGTGGCCCGGTGACTCGCTTTGACCGAGAGTGCAGCGGAAGTGAGGCTGTGCTGGTTCTGAGCCTGGGCCTTAAGAAACCTTACAGTTTCCGCTCTTACTCTCTTGAAACCCGGCTGCCATGCTGTAAGGAAGCCCAGGCTCCCTTCCTGGAGAGCAAGGCCACAAACAGAGGCCCTAGAGGACGAGACGCCATA